ATCTGAGTGCAAAAGCTACAGGGCTTGGGGGCTAGCAGGGCCTTTGCTGCTGTCCTCCACAAAGAGGTGAGCCACACATGGTGTCACGTAGAATTTGCCGGACTGGAGTGTCCCCCAGGAGCCCTGGGGACACTACGGGTTAGGCATTGGACTGCTAACCACAAGGTGCAGTCACTAGATGCTCTGCAGGAGAAAAGTTAAGGCTGTCTCCTCCAGTAAAGATGGTTTCAGAAACCCTACATAGGCTCACTGTGAGTCAGAATTAACTCAGGGCAGTGAGTTTGGGTTTGGAGTGTACCAGGCAAAGGTCAAGTGGCTCCCTTTGGATTATTCTTCCAAGCCCTAGCTACTCATCAAGTGTGGTTGCTGATCTGCAGCATGAACATCCTTGGGGGGTGGAGCTTGTAGGAGATGCAGAATCTCAAGCCCTACCCAGACCTATGGAGTCAGCACCTGCATTTTAACACAATCTCCATGGTGATTCTTGTTGATTGGCCAAGTGGCAGCATCAATGGACTCAAGTGTGGCAATGATAGTGAGGTTGGCCCAGGATTGAGCAGTGTTTCATTCCGCTGTGCTTAAGTTTGCTATGAGTCGGTACTGACTCGATGGCACCTAACAACAACAACATGGTGATTCTATGCACAGTGGCTTGTGAACAGCACAGTGCTAGGTTCCAGTGGTATGCTACATATGTGGGCTATGGATACGTTGTCCAGCAACTTCCCCTATCTAGAATGCAGCTCTGCCTACTTCCTCCAAAGCCTTTAAAAACACAAGCTCATCACAGGGGAAGGTGATAAAGCTCTTGCACTATGCTGTACAGGCCAAGTACAAGCGTCTCAAAAAAGCAGATAAATGGAAGGACTCAAAAAGAACTAAGTTGTTGGGGTCATTTTGCTTCAGGGCAATCATACCCCCATAGATTCCAGAAGGCATTGCTGCTCTGAGGCTTCAAAAAGTTTTTGGGGTGTGTGTGTGGAATGAATGAAAAGATAATGGGATTTCCCATGAGGGTTTGAAGCTCTCACATATAAAGCTGAAAGATGACTAAGTGTAAGATGACCCTGAGTGATTTAACAATACGTTAATTTGTACTCAGTATTCCCAGATGGAGTCCTGGTGTGGCGCTGTGGGTTAATGTGCCAGACTGCAAAGCACTTTGAACTGCAAGGTCAGCGGTTCAAGCTCACCAGCTGCTCTTCGGAAACCCTATCCAGGGTCACTATGGGTCAGAACTGACTTGACGGCACTTAATAACAGCATTCCCAGATAGGAGTCTCTGGTTTGTATAAATCCGTACTATACCATACTCCATTGCCAACCGAAAGGTTGAATGTTCAAGTCCACCCAGGAGTACCTCAGAAGAAAAGTTCCAGCAGTCTACTTCTGAAAAATCAGCCACTGAAAAACCTATTAATTCTATTGCTTCTGATACATGTGGGGTTGTCATTGAATTCGAGTTGATTTGATAGCAACTGGTTTGTTTTTTTTTTTGAAACTCCCAGATTATTAAAAGACACATGTGATAGTCTTACAGACTACAAGATATCCTTATAAAAACCTTAGAAAGACCAACAGTCCTGTTGTTGTTAAATGCTATTGAGTCAGTTCTCACAGTGACCCTGTAGAGGGTATCTGAGGAGCGGCTGGTGGGTTTGAACCACCAATACTGTGGTTAAGCAGTACCACCCCAGGACTCCTAATACTTTAAAGTTACCTGGAAAATTCATTTATGTGCAAGAAGAATGAACTCACTTTCCCATAAGAGATCCACGAGAGGTTTTCCTAATGTCTCCATTCACCCTTCCTATTTTGCAGGTGAGCTGACCTGCTGACCCCAGCCAAACATAAAACTATTTCAAGTAGTTCCTGCTGGTGGTTGAGAAAAACACGCAAGAGTCAAAGAAGAGATTTTTTTTTTTTTAAACTTTGTTGTTGTTAAAGAAACTGCATAACATCATCAGAGACGAACAATAATAATTTAAATACCATGCAGTTTTTGTATGTACAAAACCTAGGGCTTAGAGATCCAGTTTCCTTTGTAGCCTATTTACATTGTTTTCTTCATACAACCATCATCTGCTAAATTACAACACAGGAGAGCAAGAGCTGAGTTGCTCGCACTCCTATACAAGGACAGACTATATACAGACACCCGGTTAGCAACTGGGAAAAGCCACTGGTTTGGGGATTAACAGACACGTGGGCAGGGAAGGTCATTTAAGGTAACCTGGGCTCCCTGGCTTCACCCAGGGGGATCCTGAAATTCCGTTCATCGAAGCACACACCACGATTTTCATTCGGCAAATAGAAATACACGTTCTTAAGCAGAAGGAAAAGAAATTCAGAGGTTCTCATCACAATTTACTGTCACGCTGTTTGGTTTCTCTAATCTGACAAAAAAAAAAAAAAAAAAAAGGCTTACGTTTTAAAAGGGGTTACAAGGCTATGGAGGGCCTTTGGAGAGGATACCAGCAAGTCTGAAAACGCAAATAGGCCAAGGGCAGACTCTTCAGCTATCAAGGAGAGCTGGGGGGATGGGGGGGGGTGTCGGAGGCAATCTCTAATTTTGAGAGGAAGACATTTGATTTTGAGATATTTCACATTTTTTTCCTCTCATGCTAATCTACACAACAAAAGAGGTTCCTCTGTGGACACATTCGCACAAAATAAAGGGATGAGCTTTTAAAACCGCCAAGGCCCACCTCGCTTTTCCAAATGAAAGTCAAATTGCCATCTGAGAAGGCAACACGAATTGCTTTAGTTGTTGTAACAATGTGTAGCTAAAAAGAAATGTGAGTAGACTTCTGGTAAGACCTCAAGGTTTTAAGAAAGTGCAGTCCACAGGTGCAACCGAGCCTGCTTCTCAGTCATTTCAAATTGCGCCACCTGGTTGCGGGGTGGGTGTTACTACCAGCACCCCCCATAGGTGCACCCCTGACTCTGTGCAAGTGATTTCTGGAATAGGTGCTCTGCAGGAAGACAAGGATGCATTGTGTCCCATTTCTTCCTGGACTGCAGCCACAGGGCACTTTCAGGGGATAACCTGGGTTGGTGGCAGGCTGCTAGTCTGGAAATTGGTTTGGGCATTATGCTCCCAGGTAATTTGAAAGGGCCCAAGGACCAGGCCCAGCAGAGGAGCCTTTGGCATTGGTGGGAGGAGTCGGTCAGTTGAATGATTTCTCTTAGGACTCACTCCTCAGCCAGGGAGGGCTGTGGGTCAGGCCGGGGCGCAGTGTGGCTGCAAGTCAGAGGGAACCTAACTCCACGCCGGGCCAGTAGGCACCTCTTCCTGGGGCAGGGGCCCTCACCAAAGAAGCCAAGCAAAAAAGCCCTCAAAGCTTTGCCATTTCCTGTGCACATTCAGACGTCAGTAAGCCTTTTGGGAAGATTGTATTTACAACCACGGTAAAAACCCAGACCCTATTTTCCCTGAATAGTACCTCTTCCCCAGGCAGTAACAATTCAGATACAACATTCAAGGGAAAAGACAAAGGTCTCTTAATGGCGCCCTCCTTGGGTGGGGCAGTGGTGGGCTCCCTGCAGAAGCACGCGGAAGGCCTGGAACAACTTTCCATGGCCGGTGGTCACTGCCTTCAAGAACTGCCCTGAGCTCTCAAAAAAACAAGAAAAGGAAAAAAAATGTGCACAGTTCCTGAGGCAGTGTTGACCCCAAGAGTAGTTAACACCTACCAAGAATCGAATGGCCTTATGGGTAGGTGCACATGCTCAGAGTGACCTGTGTCCACCAGCTCATGGTGGGTGTTAGGTATCTGTGTTTACGGAGGCCAAGCTGCTGTATTTCTAAGTTCTGAGCATGTTTGGTGGAGAGCTCACCTTTCCCAGAAGAACCGTGGCAATTATGAAACAATATAGCAGGTTGGGCAGAGCTTTGGGACCCAAAGGCCTACTAGCTCTGTCAGGAAGGAAAAGCAAAAAGGCTTCAGGAAAGTACATCATGGTTCCTGCTGGGGTTTGGGAGTTATCCTCATTGCACATCTATACTCGGTATTCCTTCGTCAACAGGCCCTGTCTTTCTGAGGTGGTACCAAGTGTGTCAGAAAGTTGTACATACATAAACCTCACTGAAGGTTTACCTCTCCACTCAGCATCATGAAGGAGAGGAAGGGTTCTCTCTAGATAGCTAGGAGCAGCAAGATCTACCATGGCCAGGCAAGGCTGGTGCTTGTGGCTGCATGAGTCTGGCATTTGCCCAACTCTGAGACTTCTCCATAGAAATAGCTCAGTACATAAAAAGGAGAAGAAAATGGTACCAATCCATCTGCAACCAGAAAGCCAGACATAGAGGAATTGTTACTGGCTTTGTATGCACTGGTTGGTCCTATACTAGAAGCTGTGAACTTCCAAGACATACAATCTCCAGCCTGGGGCACACAGAGAAAATTAAGGACAATAGCCACGCAGAACTTCTTACCCTAGTCTTGATGCCTTCAATCCAGTCCTTAGACTCACTGGCGTGTATGCTATGCCCTAAGAGTACCTCAGCAATGGCTGGTTGTATGTGTAAGAACACCTGGGATTTTCTTAATGTAACATGGGTGTGTCCATTAGCTGGAACTGAGAAGACACTAACTTTCTCCTTTAAACCAAAACTTCTGGGACCAGGTGGCCAGGTGTGAGCTTTGCACTAACATCCCCCACCAAGAACTCACTCTCTAAGACCACCCCAGAACAGAGCCCTCCCACTTTGTTCCTTGTGTGGACGGTGGTCTGAAGTGAGAGTAAGGAAAGGACCACTGTGAACAATGTCCCTTCTCAGAAGCACACTTCTAAGATACCCCCAAACCAGATGCCATGTAGGACCAAGAGCATTGAGCCAAGTCTAGAAGGCCAACCAGTCACCCCCAGGTCAAGCCCACTGCCTCAGCTTTCTTTGGACTCAGGTGACCGACACTTGTGAGGAGGGGGCTCCCTGCCAGGCCTGGATGGGGAGGGCGAGGGCAGCTCTGCATGCTGGGAAGTCTTCGGTTCCAGGATCAGAAGTGATAGCAGCAGCTCTTGAGCATGGACTGCACGCCATTATTGTCTTCACAAATGTAACCCCGATTGTGTTTCCTTTTGTTGTTCTTCTTCAAAAAGGCAGTTCAGAAGATTTACATTGTAATGGGGACATGAGTAAATACCAGCACTTATGGTTCTTAGAAATTTATGTTTTGAAGACAGCATAGCACTCAAGAGGAATTTGACTGTTATGGTCGGTGGAACCTAGAAAACAAATTCAGAGCAAGGGGCTGTCAGGTGCGTGGGGGTTGACAAGCCCACCTACCCATTTTCCCAGCCCTATCCCTCCCAGCAAACAGACACACGAATTCCTGCGAGCACCTGAGCTTCACTGAGTTCACCTGTGTTTGCGATGAGTTTAATCAGGCTCTCCTGGGAGCTCAAGTCTGGATTCATCAGCAGGGAACAAAATTCAAACTCCTGTCTCTGAAGCCAGACACTAAACACTCCATAAACACGTTGCTGTCCAGGCAATTCTGACTCATAGCAACCCTATACAGAACTACCCCATAGGGTTTCTAAGCCTTTTTTTCTGTTGTACTGCTGGGTGGTAGGTTTGAACTGACAATGTTCAGGTTGTCAATCTAGTGCAAACTCTATCAACCAGAGACTAGGTGACCTCAGATAAGCCCTTAAAAAAAAAAAAAAAAAAAAAAATCTCCCCATGTCTCAATTTCTCCAAATACCACCACACAGGACTATTTGGGCTAATGACCCAGAATAGAATTTGGAACTCAGCCCACATCTGGCCCCTGCTGAAATGCACGTTGGCATCTTTTCTTACGGTTTACATTTTCATAAAAACCTTCTCTGGGGTCACTGGTAATCTCTGGACACTTTATCAGATCTTCAGTTTGAATGAATTAAAAACAAAGCTTTCACAGGCTAGCTTTTAGCTTGTGGTTTAATGTTCCTTCCCCTGAGAAAAGTCAGAATGCAAACTGGCCTCCTAACATGCAACTTCATGTTAACCTTTTTATTTATCTTTGTTTCTACCGCACACACCAAACTACTTGTAATCCAGATGACCCAAATCCAAAGCCACTGTCGTCAAGTCCATTTTGACGAGACTAGAACTGCTCCCCACCAGGGTTTGTGAGCATGTCAGTCTTCATGGGAGCCGACAGCTTCATTTCTCAGCTACAGAGCTATTGATGGCTTTGAACCCCTGGCTGCCTTCTGGCTAACAACCCAAAGATTAACCCACTGTGCCACCACTGGACATCAATATTGCAACTTGGCAGTTTGAGAGAAAAACATAAACAAATGCCATACTAACCTTGTTAAATGTCTACTCAATTCATGAACTTCCATTTCAGTGCTTTTAAATTCATTGAGCTCCTTCCGGATGGCAGCCTGAAATCAGACACATTCATAAACACTCAGAAGACCGACATGGAAAGGAATTCACTTTTTATTTCTAACAATGTATTTTTTTGCCCTCTTAGGCAAAGCCATATAAGTGTGTAGAGTCATTTCTGTACTGAGAGGAAAAAAATTGCTCAAAATTTCTGTAGAACCTACTATGTTCACTCTGCCCCCTAAATCTAAATTGCACACAATGGCAGGACACTGCTCAAGTTGTGATTTCCCCCCTCTCTTCACAGAGCTGTAGTTCCATCTGGACATCTGTTAGACATGGAGACACACTTAGATAAATCAGTCACACTCATGGGGTCCTGAGCGTAAGTTTAAATGTCAGCAACTCATCTTCTTTCAGTGAACCAACAGACATGCCTCATAATGCTCATTTCTAGAAAGGGTGGCCACCACCCAACTATCCATCCACTTGTTACACTGCAGTATGTTGCTACGATGCTCAAACCGTTCCACTAGTATTTCAAATACCAGCAAGGTCGCCCAACTGAGCAGGTTTCAGCGGAGCTTCCAGACTACGACAGACTAAGAAGAAAAGACTGTGATTAACGAAGACCCTGTGGGTCACAACTTCAGATTGTCAGGTAGAGTGCTGGAAGGAAGGTGAGCCCCCCTAGGTTGAAAGGAACTCAAGATACACAGTGGTTACAACAATGGACCCCAACAAACCCATGGTGGTCATGAGGAAGGCAAAGGACCAGGCAAAGGTTTGTTGTGTTTTCTATGGGGGTCGTCATGAGTCAAAGTGAACTCATTGACGACTAACAACAACAGAATGGATGGATCCAATTCCCCAGTTAAATGAAGAGAATGGGTGAAGCCGCTGGCAAGAAAGACTTGCCAATAGATCTCACCATCAGGGGCAGGACATGCATTTTGAATAATGTCCAATATTCCAAGAGAACCCTAAAAAATAGTTTCCTACTGATAAAGGAAAGCTGAGGAGGCTACAGCTGGGGCAAAAGCTGGGTTGTCAAACAAAACGGGAGGTACTGAGTGAGCTGGAGAGGGAGGAGAAAGGCCTCAGTGGAGAGAGGCAGGGACGGAAAGAGGACACCCTCACTCTGTCCCTGGGCCTGAAATGTTAAACACGTGTCCTCTAGCTTAGCTCTTGGGCTGATAATTTGCTTTGAAGAATCTGAGGATGGAAAATCTTCACAAACACAAACAAAAAGGTTAACAGTTGGCTCAGAGTGGCTGTTTCCTAGAACTGCTGTAACAAAAGTTAAGTGCTGTTGAGTCACTTCTGACTCATAGCGACTCCTGCACAGGGTTTCCCAAGCTTTCAATCTTTGTGGGGACAGAGAGCCTTATCGTTCTCCTGTGGCACATCTGGTGGGCTTGAACTGCCGACCTTGTGGTTAGCAGTCCAGTGCTTATCCTACAAAGTCATCATGATCCCTAATGAAACAGTTAAGTTTCAACTCATAGCGACCCTGTATAGGGTTTCTTGGTAAGTTTGAACCTACGACCTGGTGGCTAAAAGTCCAATGCTTATCCTGCAGTGCCACACCAGGACTCAGACAGTAGGTGGCTTTAAAGAACAGAATCGTATTTTCTCATAGTTCGGGAGGCTGGATGTCCTGCTGTATTGATCATTTTGGTTCTCTGGAAGGCTCTTGAGAGATGAGCTATCCCATGCTTCTCTCCTAGCTCCTCATGGCTCCTGGCAACCCTTGGCAGACAGATGCCTCTTCACATGGCAATCAACTTCCTGCCCTCTGCCATCTCTGTGCTCATTGTTTTTCTTTTATAAGACAATAATTAGATTGGATTAAGTTGCACCTTATTTCCAAACAAGATCTCATTCATAGGTACAAAGTTAGGAATTCATCATCGTCATCCATTTAAAAAAAAGAACCCAGGTCTTTATTTTAACAAAGGAAATTTGATGACGAAATTGTGCACGAAGGCACCATTTGAACATTCGTGCAGTACAACGGACCTCACATTTGTTTCTAAACTCCCTGCTCTAGCTGACTGCCCTGCTGGCAATGGGAATGCGACCCAGTTCCGTCTGACTCCATCCAAGAAACACCATTTGGCATCTACTCTATTCTCTCTCTTCAACACCCTCCCAGACTTCAACATCTTTTTTGGGGGCACAGGGGAGCAATTCAGTCCATTCCATACCAGCAGCTAAACCTACTAAGAAATGGAGCACTTGGGTTCAGAACTAATCATCAGATATTTGGTGTCACGGGTGCACTGCTTCCTGTTCCCCAGCAGCCTTTGAGGAACTGGATACTTTCACTACCGTGGCGGTTACGTAGCATGTTAGAAAGAGGTCCATGTGGGGACATAGTGTATGTTCCCTTGAGATCTGCTAATACCCTCATCCTTGGTAAGCAAGCACACTGCGGTGACAGTAGGAACAAGAGAGAACAGAAGACAAAGCTTCTTCTATTCCTGTTTCGATAACGTGACTGTCTCTCTTGTGGCTGGGCCTGTCTGTTTTTTTGCACTATGTTGTCAATCCCAGAAGGAGTTCTGATGATGCCTTCAGTGGGGCTAAGTGTGGGGTCGTTAACTGCAAAGTCAGCAGTTTAAACTCATCAGCTACTCCCAGGAAGAATGGTGAGCTGTCTGCTCTCATAAAGATATACAGTCTCAGAAGTCCTATGGAGTGGTTCTAGTCTGTCTTTCAGAGTTGTTCCACAAGTCGGAACTGAGTTCATGGCAGTGGGTGGGATTTTGGGGCTCAGTCCCTGGGTGGCTCACATGAACCCCTGTGCAGGGATGAGGTGAGTGATGTGTTAGTCAGGAGGGTCCAGTTCCCCTTCCTCGAGGTCTGAGGCTGACCTGCTGCACAGGGGAAATCTATCTGCCTTGGACACTTTGGTCCCACCCAAGTACAGCAGCTTCCTGTCTTCAATCTTGTTTCTTGAAATTCCTTCTTTTAGGGTTGGAGGTAATTTAGTCAGGTGTGTGGGCTGTGAAAGACCTGTGCATTGTGTAAAACGAAGCCATGGGCTGACCTATACTTATGGAGGTTGCAGCTCAAAATACCAACTGAAAGAGAAGGTGTCTTCACATCAAATGTCAATCCTATCCCCTCTGTATACAGGGTTGAAAGGAGAAAGCAACTTAGACATTGGGTGGCACTGTTGCCAGACTGCAAAGCCGTTTGAACTGCAAGATCGGTGGTTCAAGCTCACCAGCTGCTCCTTGGAAACCCTATGGGTCAGAACCAACTTAACAGTACTTAACAACAACAACACCCTAAAATGAGGGGGCTATAAAGGCATGAAGTGACTGGCTTACAAGTTTTCAAGAGGGAGTTTAGTTTAAGAGTGTGTGGGGAAAGGTAGAATCCCCACTGAATAGTTTTCATCTTGTCTAGATGGGTCTGGTGAAAGGAGATGGGGATAAGATTCTTATGATTCAATAGTGAGTAATTGTTATTGTGACTAATTGCAACTGTCACAACTGTAAAGGTAGACGTTCTGTAACAAAAAAGGGGCAGTAGTTAATCTTACAGTCCAGGAACACAGGACCCTAGGACCATCAAGGGAGAAGAGCATGAGCGGAATGTGGGACCCTATCTAGAGAAACAGCGACACCAGACATGGAGGCAGAGATGAGGATATGGAGAGATAAGCAGCTGAGGACTCTAGACTCATGGAAAGAGAAAGGCTGTGTGCTTGTGGCCAGGAGGCAGGCTTGCAGAATGTGCCCTTTGGTTGTTTAAATGATTATATGTTCCTAAGTGTTTTTGTGTACATCATTCTCCCAACCCCCTGCCCCCACCAAAACAAAACAAAAACCCTAGAAGGAACAGAAGCAAATCCTATTTAAGGATGATGCATGGAGGAGATTATAATCATTACAATTAAATGAGAAGAGTAAATCCGATGTTTTCCCATGTAAACTATCATTCAATTCACAATAAAAACTTAAAAAAAAAAAAAAGAGGCCATGGGCTATTGGAAAATATGGGACAAATGCAGGGGTGCAAATGCAGGGGAGAAGCCACCCAGTGTATTCTGGGGTCTTCATATGCTTTTACTCATATACTGAGCAGAATCATTTTCCTAGACTATTAATATAAAGACACTTAGCCCTGCAATCCCACATGGACTAGAATTACAAAGGATTGCCAAGCATCAGGCCATTTTGATCCTTGATTCAATGGAGAGATAAGAATGGGTATCAGTGCATTCCTCAGTGCAAAGCAAGGTAGTCCTTCTCTTGTGAGACGGCAACTGGCTTACTTAGAATAGATCACCCAAAAAGACCAATGGAGAGATTCTGATTATGAGTCTGGGGCTTTGACTACTGCGCCTTAAGAAAGCACTTAGGACCAATTGTTAGGAAAGGACATGTTTGGTAAAGTTGTTATTAAGTGTTGTCGAGTTGGTTCCAACCCATAGCAACCCTATATAGGGTTTCTGAGGAGTCGCTGGTAAGCTTGCACCAGCTTTGCTCACGTGTTTTTATTATTGTTGTTAGGTGCTATCGAGTTGGTACTGACTCACAGCGACCCTATGCACAGCAGAATGAAACACTGTGTGGTCCTGGGCCAACCTCACAACTGTTGCCACGCTTGAGTCCACTGATGCTGCCACTTGGCCAATCCATCTTGCTGGGGTCTTCTTTTTCTCTGACCCTCCATCTTACCAAACATGATATACTTCTCCAGCGACTGGTCCCTCCTGACAATATGTCTAAAGTATGAGAGACGAAGTTTGGCCATCCTGGCCTCCAAGGAGCACTCTGGCTGCACTTCTTCCAAAACGGATCTATTGGTTCTTTTTGGCAGTCCATGGCACTTTCAAATAAAGTGTTGTTGTTGTTGTTAGGTGCCATCGAGTCGGCACTGACTCATAGCGACCTTATGCACAGCAAAACCAAACAATGTCCGAACCTGGGCCAACCTCACTACTGTTGCCACACTTGAGTCCATCGATGCTGCCACCTGGCCAATCCATCTCGTTGGGGGTCTTCCTCTTTTTCTCTGACCCTCCATCTTACCAAACATGATATCCTTCTCCAGCTACTGTTTCCTCCTGACAATATGTCCAAAGTTAGAGAGACAAAGTTTGGGCATCTTGGCCTCTAAGGAGCACTCTGGTTGCACTTCTTTCAAAACAGATCTATTGGTTCTTTTGGCAGTTCATGGCACCTTTAGTATTCTCCTCCAACACCATAGCTCAAAGGCATCAATTCTTCTATGGTCTTCCTTATTCACTGTCCAGCCTTTGTATCCATATAAGTTTATTGAAAATACCATGGCTTGAGTCAGGTGCACCTTAGTCCTCAAGCTGACATCTTTGTTCTTCAACACTTTAAAAATGTCTGTGCAGCAGATTTGCCTAATGCAATACGTTGTCTGATCTCTTGACTGCTGCTTCCGTGAGTGTTGATAGTTGATCCAAGAAGAATGAAGTCCTTGACAACTTCAATCTCTTCTCCGTTGATAAGAATGTTGTTTATTGGTCCAGTGGTGAGGATTTTTGTTTTCTTGACATTGAGATACAATCCATACAGAAGGCTATGCTCTTTGATCTTCATCAGTAAATGTTTTAAGTCCTCTTCATTTTCAAATAAAGTAGAGATCAGCAAAACAGGAAGAACACCCTCAAAGAGATAGATTGATACAAGGGGCCACAACAATTGACTAAAAAACAAACAAAACAACCCAACAACACTCATGAGGATGGTGCAGGACCAGGGAACGTTACCTTCTGGTCACATGGGTCACTATGAGTCACAGTTGACTTGACGTCAGCTAATACCACACAGAGTCCTGGTGCGGTGCTGTAGGATAAGCACTCTACCACAAGGTCGGTTTGAACCACAAGGTTCATGGTTCAAATTTGCCAGTCGCTCCTTGGAAACCCTATACAGGGTCTCTATGGGTTGGAACCCACTCCATGGCACTTAACAACAATGAGTCTTGTTATCCAAAAGGGTGAGGGTTTCCTGGGGTGACACATGTTTTGTTGTGTCTCTGTGACCTGTGTCATTGTTGTTAAGTGCTGTTGAAACTGATCCAACTTACAGTGAGTGACCCGGTATAAAATTTTCAAGGAGTGACCGGTGGGATTGAACTGCCAACCCTGTGGATAGCAGTTGAGTGCATATCTAAACAGTAAACACAGCGACTTTGTCTGCTTTGGGTTTTATGAGTCTGCGTTTGGGTACTGAGGACAGTGGTCTTGACAGGAAGGTCTGTGATAAGCTCAGAGCCTGAGGCTTTGTACCTTGGACCAGTTCAGTGTCTACGTGATGCCCAGCCTGAGTGAAGCTCTTCCTCCATGGATACAGTAAGCTCAACTCAACCTGCCTGTTCTCTGCACTCTCCCAGCGGTAAAGGAGAAATGTGGAGACCTCGTGGTAGATTATCTGGAGCCCTTGGAGAAACAGCACTGATACCCACACTTCCAGCAATTCGCATTTGATTACCGAGACAGTGACTAAGACTTTGCTGCTGCTTTCCTTACCAGTTCCCAGCAGTAAGTGAGAGAGCCAATAGAAGAGGCAAAGCAGGGCGTGAGAAAGCTGCCTGTCTTCCAGCCATCCCTGCCACCTCCCCCAGCCAGACTTACTTTGTCAGCAGCAGTGAGGCGGGTCCAGGGCTTGTCTGCCCTCCGGTCATAGTCCTGAGCATCTGCCACCTCCACGTAGTCACTGAAACGAATGAGGATCTTCCTCTCCCGAAGTTCTTCCACCGTGGGCCTTTGGCTGAGCTGCAGGGAGGGAGAGAGAAGGAACCAGTCAGCCAGAGACAATTAGATCACTTGGGTCCCTCTACAGAAATAAAGTCCACAAGGGTCAATGGGTGCTTCAGCTGGCGAGTGAGTGGCAGAACCTGGGAGGGTACCCAGAGCGCCTGATTCCTGGACCTGAAATTCTTCCAGGATTCTCAAAGAGAGCTTTATTATCCCTCGAGACACCTTCAGGCCCGTGCACAAAGACAGCCAGTCTCTCTCTTTCTTCGTAACACTGGGCGTCTCGGACTTGAATAAAAGAAGCTGTGTTTCTGTGTGGGTGTCCATTGTGTGTTTTCCTGCATCTGGTCTTTTTCTTCCACTGAGCTACAGGAGTTTTACACCATGATGTTGTCTTATTTTGGAAGTGTGAGTTCACATCTGCGTGCCAAATTCAGTGCTCTCTGCAAGATGGGTCTGTCACAAGTTGTGTGTACATGTGTTTCAGACACACAAAAAGGTATGTCTGTGCAAACAGTATACAAACTCTGGGTCAGAGGACACCCTGCTAATTAATGGTCTCAAGAAAACCTAATGAAAGATCAGTCTCCAAATGCAGAGCCAAGTGCGAAGCATGACTGAGTTTGTGCCAATTAGACTCAGGGTTGGCCCTCTGGATGGGTCTGACTTAACCATCTCCCTATGCCACCCATGAGTACCCTTCCTTTGTACTTGAATAGCATAAGGCTGACACCCTATTATCTTTTCCTTTCACTAGCTTTATTTCTTCTGGAGCGACATAGTTGCTTTCTCCTTAAGAAGTTGTTAAATTCATGTCCAAATGATGTTTTTTAAAAGCAATTCTTGCTCTAAGCTCTACGCTGTATTTAATTCTATTGATAGAAGACGTAGTCGGAATCTCACCACGAAGACCTATCAAACCAATAAAACCACACTGGCTGTGTTGACTCTTATCACGCTGCTGCCATACACCCTGGACTGGTGCCACATCCGTCCATCTGCCTGCCAACTGGCTTACAGTGCACAAGTGTAATTAGGTGGTTGCTTGGCTGGTAGTACACAGAACAGCGACGTGGGCGACCAGGCACTGAATGAGACCAGGGCAGGTTGGCAGTTTCCTCTGCAGCCAAACGTGGAAGCAAGTGTTGAGTGGATCAGAGAACCAGAGGCAAACTTGCCTAGAATGCATGTTGATGCCCCTCAAACTGGTTCTGTCTGTCCTTGACAATTTTGGCTTTCCTAAAGGGACAAGACACTGGATATCAATGCTGACCTGTCGCTGGAAACAACAGAGCACAAACAGCACACCTGACTGCCATTCAAAAGGTTAGTGGTTGAATTCCACCCAGGAGCACCTCAGAAGAAAGGCCTGGTGAACAAATTTCTGAAGAATTGGCCGTTGAAACTCTACAGAGCACAGTTCTACCCATGTGGGGTCACTGAGCTGGAGTCGACTGTATAGTAACTTTGTGTGTATGTGGCTGCAATGGTTGTAAACAAATCTAACAGCCCATTCTGACTCCAAAATGTGCGTCTTTGTACTATAATTTAAATAACACACAAACACTTAATGTTTACCATATTTTTCCCAGATAAACAAAGACTCCTACTCAAAAGCCTCAGTCTGTGCTCCTCAGGACTAGCGAGGTCATCCACGGGTGGTGCGCAAACACGCACACAAAGCTGCTAAGTGTGGAATTTGGAGTTTGTTTTCTTGAAACTCATGACCTGGGTTTCACTAATCACCTGTCTGCAGCAGACTCCAGAGTGAACAGAAAACTCAAGGTGAAATCAGTAGGTCATGGATTAGTTTTCATCCCTGAATCCCTCTGAGGCTGTGGGGAGGACCTGTGTCTCCAAGGGAGTTGGGGCAGAGCCCCCAGGGCTATGAGGTATAACGGGATAGTGGCTGACTATATTGCCACCAAGCCGGTCTCTGGCAGGCTGTGGATCTAGGAATCCACGCTGCCAGGATTCTCTTCTGCGAGCGTGACCACATCCTACATGCTACGCGGGGCTCAAACACACACCCTGGGCCGGCGGCTGGCTCTAGTCCTTTGGCATGTGGAACTGGAGGTTACTCCTGGGATGCTGGGAAATAATCTTGGCTGCCAAAGTCAGATTGTCTGGAGTGTTCGGGCTGAAGAAGGGTTAGGGGGCAGGAGCTGGAGGCAGTGCGTTCAGTGGGCAGCAGCAATGTACCACTGCAATCACACACTTATTGAGGTCCACAAATCTGAACTTAAGGGCATTCCTTTCCCATCCGATTCTCCCTTCCTTTCTGCTTCTGGTCATTTCTATTCTCTGACTGCTGTCCACCTACCTACCTACCTTTTCTTCTCTCCTTTCTATTTGTCATCCCTCCTATCATCTATTCATCCACCTACCTACCTGTCTGTCTGTCTCTCCACTTGTCAATCTATTCATCTAAAGTCTGGGTGGTACAAGCGGTGTGCCACAACTACTAACCTAAAGATTTGAACCCACCCAGCACTTCTGCAGAAACGAAGTCCTGACAAACGATTTGTGTGAAGAACACTGCACGGAGGAGGTCTACTTTATAAAGCAGAGGCCACCGTAGGTCCGGGACTGACTTGATGAAGGCTAAGAATATATCTACCCACCTATCAGCATCTATCTATTGATCTTACTTACTATCTGAAGTCCTGGTGTGGCACTATGGATTAATGCACTGGACTGTAAAGTCGGTTTGAATTGCAAGGTCGGTGGTTCAAGCTCACCAGCTGCTCCTCAGAAACCCTATACAGGGTTGCTAGGAGTCAGAACCAACTCAACAGCACTTAACAACAACAAGAAGCTTTCTACCTATCTACCTACCTACCTACCTACCTATCTACCTATCTACCTATCTATCTATCTATCTATCTATCTACCTACCTATCTATCTATCTATCTATCTATCTATCTATCTATCTATCTATCTATCTATCTA